TCCTTGAAAACACACGGCAGAATACACACCGTGGCCCCAATTGTTATACAAAATCTCAAAGCTTTAAAGTTTCATGAGATCTCCAGCCGTCCTTCCTCTTTATCCCGTCTCGTGCGCAGAATCTATGTCAAGTTTAAGCCTTTTAGCTTTGCCTGCATCGTCGGCTTCAACCAAGGCTGCCATGCACCACCACCGTTCGCCGTCACGTTGTCCTTTCTGGTTGACGAGCTCTTCAACATCCAGGGACACGGCCTTTCTAAGGTCCACGCACGTTGTGTATAGCGGACCATCGAGGCACATTGTGTGGAATTCGCCGTTCTCACCACAAAGATCAAGCGGCTTCACTGCATCGCTTTCAGTACCGGTCTTGCTCTCAGAGTTCCGCAACTGCCTCATTTCCGCCAGCGCGGCACTATCAAGCGAGCGCCCGATCCAGCTCGAATCGAACCACGGGCTCTTTACACACGAAAATACTACTCGCAGGCCTTCTGCGAGAATTTTCTGAAGCACCTCTTCCCTGTCACATTGCCAGAGTGGCAAATAAGCACGCATGCTGCCGCAGGCTGGACCATCCACGTTCTCCAGTGTCACTGCCTCACAGCATTCTTCGACCCAATTGCGCTGCATCTTGCCGACCAGGTCCATGTCGCCTGTAACTACCACCTTGATGCCATGATCAATGTACAGTTGACGGAGGCCCTCAACGTAAGCTGCCTTGTAAGGATCTTCCTTCTTGCCTTCATGGCCAGTTTCGGTAGCTGTGGTCTTCGGCCGGATCACCACGTGAAGCAGCGGCAGCCCAAGCGCTGAGGCTTGCAGATTCATCAATGGAATCGGGTGAGCTCGGAAATCTGCCTTTTCCGGCCGGAAAACAATGAGGGCAACTACCTCTAAGGACGGATTCCGCCAGGCATGGAGGAGGGCTAGGTTGCAGTCCTTCCCACCTGTCCATGCAATGCCACACTTTGAGGCACCATCGCTGATGGCCTGGCGCTCGACGGGATCCCGTGTTGCCATGTGCAACAGATGATGGAGCAATGCTATCAAAGAGGAAAAAACATGGACTAGACTATAGCCGAACAGCGAGGTTAAGCAATGGCAGCACACAGCGATATATAGCCGCATGACACATACGCTGACTAGGCAAGTGACCCAGGAGACTCAAGCAGACGCATTCCGGGAAACAGGTACAATAGGTTGAACAAGGGCGCATGTGTGCAAACTCATGTGCACTCGTGTACCTGCGAGAAAACTACGCTAACCATCACAGCCAACACCGCCGCCGCCACCACCGCCGCTCCCGCCACCGCACGACTCCACCTCATCACCGCTACATTCAGCGTAACTGCTGATTCCAGGCGACTGGTCTTGCCTCTGTTGATACACTCCACATAGCGCCGCCCGGGTACGCTAGATCCCTGGTTGCATGCTCCCTTTTCAATGCCTGAGCCGTCAGTTCCTGAAGGCTGACACCTTGGAAAAAGTGAACCTCAAAATCCTGTTGATTTTGCGCACTGAAGAACATAGCCTATTTGCTGCTGAATCGAGGAAAGTTCACCTTTGCTATGTCTGGCATTGCTGCGTTGGGCCATCAGCGCTGATGAAGAGGGACCTGGCAGCACGAAGCCCGACCCCTCACGGTGTACGGGCCTATTCTTGACACCTTACAGAAATTCATATTTGGCTGTTAGTGATTCGGACGATGTTTCCACTTCCGGGCACTTGGGGGTTCTGCCAACACTGCTGGCCTCAAGTGCACCTCCAACTGCCAAGTCGCTTGCAGTGTGGCCAAAGTAGTCCTGGCTGGACTTGATTTTTGAAACAGGCCTCAGAGCCTCAGAGAGCAAATTAAATGTGGTGCTCAGGCACACCTGAATAGTGATATAGCTTTTGCTGTAGTTTTGTGTAGGCGCATTGTTCAGGATCCAGGCTAGTACAAGCTTCAACTGGAGACCTCCGATTCAATGCGTTCCTAGGAAGCCGCCTCTCGCACTCCATATATCCTCCCATATGATATGCCCTACATTACCCACATAATCCCCCATACACTCCAGAAAACAGCACCCATTCAAGCATAAGAAGCCCAAACATTGAGACAAGCTATCGTCTAGAATTACAGCCTCAATCCAAGACGTAGAACGCAAATCACATGGGCCACCTGGGAATATCAGAGTGGCATGGCTCTGAGAGTGTGGATGCATGAATCCCATGACTCAACCCTAAGCCCAGTCCGAAGGCATCTGTTGACGTGCAACAACGTGATCTACCCCGCGAGAAGCAACGCATCATAATGATGATAATGTCGGTGTTCAGCTTTAGTTGGCACTACAGAGGTACGGCCGCGGGACCATCAGTGTCTTGTTAAGGGTGATAATTAATTACAGCTCTGGGATGTTAGAGCTCTGCTTCAAGATGCTTCCGGCGTGTACTCAGTCCTTCGTAGTGGTCAGCACCCGGAAGCTCTCATGACCCTCAGGGTGGCACAGATGAGGGCTGCCTTCACAGAAGCCTTGAGATTGCCTTTTACTTATCAAGTTGCTTCCGCCAAGTACCCGGACGCCTGTGCAAATGCAAAACAACAAAACCCCTCTCCCATGCAAAAGAATAGAATCTTGCCTGTCTGGAAAAGGGGTTCTGGCATGCCGTGATTGTCGGCACTCCTCAGGGAGGCTCAGAAGCTTCACTCTGAGGCCTGGGCCATAAACAACTTGCACACGTTCCTGTGGCCGGCCTGCGGAAGCCACAGCTAGCAGAATCAACGTTCAATTATAACATTTCAATCACCCATGGCTGTGGATCAAAAGCCCGTGTTGTCGCGGGGCAGCCCTCACCCCGCCTGTTGCTACATACTTGCATACCTGTGTCGTGAATGCTTTGTACTGGTCACAAATAGCTGGTGTGCCTCACAAGCGGGCTTTGTTGCAAAGGTGCTTGTCGCAGGCCAGGCAGTTATGTTACAAGCCTAAATGGCCGCCCAATGCTTATTACAAATCCGATCTTTGTGACTCACAGCCGAAACCTTTGCTCCTTATCGGAATCATTCGTAGACACCACCAAGCAAGATCCGCGGGAATGAGCTGACCTCTGCAGCCGCATGAAGCGCGTTCCTGCCAACGCAGTCCTGACCGCACACACTGTTCCCTTAGGCTGTTCCGAAAATGCGGACCTCTTGAATCTAGGCTTAGGAACTGTTACAAGTTTTGGGTTCGAGAAGACACTACGCAGCTAGCTTATCCAGAGGCCGAGGAGCGAATCAGTTGGCTCATGATTTGCGTTTGCATGAGAAGTCTCCTAGACTTAATGTGCTGTCTCCGAATCCATGGCCCAAAGCCATATGCTACCGCTGGCCCATCTTTAGACTCACGACTCAGAGAAGCAGCAAGGGCCATCATGGCTAGTCCAGAGTTCTTGGAAGCGGCAACGATTCGGTTTGTCATGGAGCTGAGCTGCTCAATGGCATATCTTCGCTTCGCTTTACTTCACTGTTCTTGGAGCCCAGCCACTAACCCCACTAACCTGGGGAGAATCCGCCGACCTTGGGGGGCGTGTTGGATGGTTTCAGTAGACGGAGAGGGTGAAAACCCTCTTCCTTTCCCCACGGCAGGCTCCCATCAAGGATCGGACACGGCTGCAACAACAATGCAGTGTTGGTCCTGCAGAGTCCTGGCAACCTGGCTTGTTGCGCCGAT